CTGTCTCTTCCTACTAGTTTTAGTTTGAAGTCTGTTTGACCAGATATTAGAATAGCTATACCTGCTTATTGCTCAGGTCCATTTACTTGAAATAATTTTTTTGTATCCTTTTATCCTAAGGTGATGTCAGTCATTGCTGGTGAGGCATGTTTCTTGGAGGCAGAAAATCCGTGAATTCTGTTTTCTAATCCAATCAGTTAGTCAGTGTCTTTTTCCTGGGAAGCTGAGACCATTAATATTGAGAGTTATTATCTATCAATGTTTATTAATTCCTCTTATGCCGTGGTTGCAGTGCTGTTTTCTTAGACCTCTTTTGGTTGACTGCTCTGGAATAATTTATTATTTGTGCATTCTTCAGAGTATTTAATTTTCTCTTCATATCAATATACTCTATCAAATACTCTCTGGTTTAGTGGAAATCAATTCCTTAAATCTGTTTTAATTTTTCCCCCTCCAGTGTTCTTAATCACTGAGCCATCTCTACAGCCCCAGGAGTAAACATTCTTTAGATGCTATAAAAGGGTATTTGGAATAATTTTTCCAGGCTTTGAATTTTATTGCAAAATAATTTACTATCATACATTTAGGACACAGTCTCTTCCAGTAACTCATTTTCCTTTACTCTCTCTCACCTCTTCCTCCCTCTCTCACCCTTGCCTCCTTAGTCTTACCTCACTCCTGTATCCCTAGGGTCCACCTTTCAGTAACTGGAGAACCTGTAACAGACATATTATTATAGTGCCTTCACTTCCTATCTCTTTATTGTGTGGTTATCCATCTGGTATCCAATCACCACACTGAAACGGTTCTTTCTAATGACTTCCATACTGCAAAATTCAGTCAACACTGTATTAGAATCATATTAGATAACAGTACATTCAAATTAGAATAATCTGAGAAATATTTTCTTATAAAGGCATATCTATGGGGTGGATGGAGAGTAGTCAGTAAGAGATCTTAAGTGATAGTACAGTTATTTGGGATAATTTTTACTGTCTTTAAACCTCCATGGATAAGGTGCTATAAAGACGTTTGCTTGAAGTTGGGTGTAGTGGCCCATCTTTAATCCCAGCACTCAGGAAGCAGAGGCAGGTGGATCTCTGTCAGGATTTGGGGCATCCTAGTCTACATAGAGAGTTGCAGGCCAGCTAGGGCTATAGGGAGACCTTGTCTCAAAAAGACCAAAAAAATTTACTTCAGTAGTGGTTTGGTGTATGTTGTTGAATGCATTCTATCTCTTGTGAATTGTTTGATAGTACTGATGTCATGCTATCACTGGGTTTTGCTAAGTTATATGATTGTTTTTGATGCTGAAGAAAAATTGTACTAGGCAAGATAAGGAAATGGAATTTGATTGCCTCCACCTCAATGCCCCTGCTGTCAGTATGCGAGAGAGCAGAGAAAACTGGAATTTCTATTCTGCTAAAACAAGAGGAGAGCATGGAGCTGATTTTGGAGTTGGTGTTGGATCTAAGCACTGGCATGAGGTAGTAGGAAACCACTGGAGGGCTTCAGTGGAGAGGTTGATTGATAGGATTCGTGGAGCACACTGTGTTATTACTGAGTTTGTAAATGTTTTTCTCTGAGACTGGACCAGCTGTGTTTGCTAATTGGCACTCACTGAAGTCAGTTTTTGATACTCTCACAGACAATGAGACAGGAGGTCTTCTTTAATATCTACATTTCAAGAGATGTTTTCCAGGTCCTGAGAAAGACATTCCTTGACTGTAAGAGAGAAAGGAGATTTATTGAGAAAGTGTTTATAATAAACAATTTCCTAAAGCAAGTGCTCTGAGAAAAGGGAGGTTAGGGGCATAGAACCAGGGAGAAACATGTTTAAAGTTTAGTCAAACTGAGGGGAATGTTCAGGGGATTTAGCCATGGATTGTGTGGGTGTTTTCTAGTAGTTAATCTTGGAATGTTGCTGTGCTTGTTTGATTTAACTTATTGAGGAGATATGGAGTGTGCTAATGACTTGATTTCTGTTTGAGATTTTTCGCCATGCCTCATGGGGAATGATGGTTTGTAACTGTTTAGGTCACTTCTCTGTCTTCCTACTCAAATGCAAGTAGTTTAGGAACACTATCCCCTCGTTTATTGATCTAGGAGCATGGTCCTACAGTGTGACCTCATTCAGTACCAGACTGGCTTTCTTAGGGCTTTCTGCTTCTCTTAGTATTAGTCATTGGATGCTGCTTTTGTAGGCACACAAAATCAAGAATTGTGGAGTCACAGAGGCATCCACTCAGATTTCAAAGCAAGGCTGGGGATGCCAGGTAATGTGTGGAAAGTCAGAATCCCCATGGGCAGACCCCGAGAAGGCAATGCTTGGAACTCTGAGAATAAAATGGAGAGCTACAGTGAAGACCCCAGGAAGTTAGAGATAAAAAGAACATGAAGTTCTGCTGAGGAAAGTGGCAGGCAGTGAGTAGAGCCAGCCCAAGAGAAATGACCTGGGGGCTGAGCTAGCAAAGCCATATGAATAGCACTGTTTAAGCGCTTTGGAGTTTACATCATACCACCGTGTGTCCTTCATGATGGACTTGGAGTTACAGATTTAATGCTTGTCCTGGTGGGTTTTGATCTCGCGTGGGTACCATTTCTTTTTATGCCCCCATTTCTCCCTTTTGGAATGAAAATGTTTATACAGGTCACTGTATTTTGAAAGCATGTAATTTTCTTTCTGTCTTTACTGGGACTCACAGTAAGAGTTTACCTTGAGTGTCAAAGGAGACTTTGATCTTTGGACTCTTGAGAAATGCTTAAATTCTTGAGACTTGTGCAGATGAATGCATTTTGCATTATGAGATGGACATGAGCTTTTGCAGCAGAGGAATGTGGGCTGTTACAGCTAAGATTTGACAATTCTCCTCAAAAGGCTTATGTGTTGAAGGCTTGGGCCCTAGCTAGTGTCATTATCAAGATGTGACTGGGTTATGAAAGCACTAAGAGCATCAACGAATTGATGCATTGGTGAGGTCACAGATGCATAAGCTCTTAGGAAGTGAGGCCTAGGTAGAGGAAGTAGCTTGCTGGGAGTGTGCCTTTGAAGGGCCCTGTCCATGAACTCACTTTCTCTCTCTGCTTCTCTTCTGTCATGAAATGAGCACTGCCTTACATGATGCCTTTGTTCTGTGATGCCTCCTCCATGCCATAGGCCTAAGATCAATGGAGCAAGCTGAGCACAACCTGAACCATAAGCCCAAATCTTCCTCTTTAAGTTGTTTTCTCAGCTTTTTTGTCACAATGATGTAAAATGACTAACATGTTCTTGCATCTTTAGAGATTGTCAGATAAATGAAGGAAACAAGTCTGCCTTATCCATAGATTGACTAATGCCTGTGCCATCTAGCTGGCTCTCAAAGGCAAGATGATTCACCTGCTGGAGGTTCAATGGCCTAAAATCCTTGCCCGTAGCTTCTAAATTTACTGGCCTGAGTAAAGACCATCATATCATGGCATTGTGCCCGGAAACCTAGCATATTTACATTGTTCTGAGCAAACATTTCACCATTGTTGATCCATTCTTGCGCATCGAAATAGACAAAAAACAAATTTAGTCTAATTTTTCTGTTTACTCAAAAATAACATTTATCATGTGGGGAAAAATCTCCTTTAGAGACTTTCATTATACTTTATAATGTGAGTGAACTATAAGATGGCGTTGGGATTTTTGTAAGTCATTAGAGACATTCAAGGCATGTTGAATTTTTTTCTTTTAAACATTTTGGTACATTCTTTTTCAGGCTCTAAGGCAAATTAATTCAAGAGTTTGTGAACTGATGAAATAATTACTGTCAATCTCTCACCAAAATGTTGTCTAGAGTGACTCTTTGTAGAAGATTTAAAAAGCACTGTAATTTCGTTAGATAGGAAAATTGCTGCCAACATTTTTATTTTCCTCAGGAATTGAAGAACTAATTATCTTGGGATCATGGACCAAGAAATGTATGATTTTACATTTCTGAAAGTCACACTTTAAGTCAAAATTGTCTTTTCTGTAAATTTCCATTTAGCAAAGGATAGTATAGACAATAAATCATTTCTCTTCTCAAAAGAAAGAGAGAAATCAGTTGTTCATAGGAGTTTTAAAAATTTCTTTTTAGTATCTTAAGCATCAGTGATCACAGAAACCTCTGGCTTCTTACTATAGATTTGCTCTGGTGACTATTTTACTACTTTGATTTTTGTACTTGGTCAGTGAATATTTTTCTCCCCACACAATTGACTGTAATTTGAAATTTCCTTGATCAATATGAAGTACTTTCTCTTCCTTGAGATTTTATATCACTGTCTGGAGGGGTCCACAGGCATAGTAGTTGTCATGTAAATAGACATGGCCATCACACACGGTCCATATGCTTCCTCTGGAGTATCTACACATGCATGTATCTGTATATCAGCCATATGATCTCTATGACCTGAATATTCTTCCTTCTGATTGAATGAAGGATACTTGACCTCGATCACCTTCTGCTTTTTAGTCAAATTGTAATTGCTAATATTTTCTGTTTCTGTTGTTTGTAAAATTGGGTTCTCTACTTCTGCTCTCATCCCTGCTGCCAAGTTTTAAATGAAAATTTACCATAAAGAAGTAATATATAATTTTAAGTTGTTTTACCCTTTTTACATTTAAAAGTGAGTAATGAGGTGAATAGGGAGAAAGTGTTAAGAGCAGAGATTTGGGGGAGGAGTAATCGAGTTCAAATCTCATGCTGGAACTTCCTATTCAACCTTGACAAGGTTTCTCAATTCATTTGCTACATCTGCAAAACTTACAAACAACTGTACTGTACTTGTATCATAGAACTGTTACAGGAACTAAGTTAACACTTGTGAAAAGCAGAGAGCAGTACTTTGCACACGTAATATACTACACAAGCTAGATGACTTTGATGTCCTTAGCAATAGGGAGAGATGGGATTTTTCACATCATATTTTGGGCCTCAAATTCTATGCCCCGCAATACTGCATTTGATGTTCTGTCATATAAAGTTGATTCACTTTCTGGACACATGCTCACTCAATCCCAGCACCCTCTGGAAGCCCATCCTCAGCTCGTGTGTCCTAAGAGCATACACCATGGGGTTAAGGGATGGGGGGACCACAATACGGAGCACATTGAGGAGAACAGGGATGAAGGGAACCTTCCTTCCTGCCAGGTGGGTGACAGATACTAGAATAACAGCTGTGTAAAAAAAAAATGAGGATGAGATGGGAGCTGCAGGTTCTGAGGGCCTTAGATGTTGCCTCAGCAGAGTTCAGCATCATTACAGAGCGAATAATCAAAGTCAAGGTCAACTGGTAAAATCTGTTCACAGTGATGTCATCAAAAGCCAGACTAGTGACCCCCAAGTTTGAACATAGGCAGTGGTCAATTTCATTTCTGGAGCAGTATTGTCTCTGAGCAGCGAGCACGGGCACGGGGATGGTCAGCAGACCATTCCTGAGCAAAATGCACAGTGTGGCTTTGAGTACAAAAGCTTCAGTGATTATGGAAGGGTGCTGAAGGGGATAGCAAATGGCTATATATCTATCCACTGCCATGCATAAGATGCCTAACTCCATGCACATGAAAGAGTGGATGGCATAGATCTGTGCAAAACACTCAGGGAGGCTGACGGATTTTGCATCAAACCATAGGATGGCCAGGATCTTGGGCATGCTGGTGGTAGCCAAGCCAGTATCCACTATAGCCAGGATACCAAGGAACTGATTCATGGGCTGATGTAGGCTGGTGAATTCACGGTGAATGGTGGTCAAGATAAGGAGATTAGCACCAAGTGCTAAGAGGTAGAGGACAGTCATTGGCATGGAGAGCCAGTGCTGCCACTCATGAATGCTGGGGAACCCCAGGAGGATGAACTTAGACACTTGAAACTCTGAGCTGTTGATTGCATGCAGGACAGTATCCATAATATGAGATGTCTTGTTCTCAGCATCTGCCTGTGGATTAAGGGGAAATAGAAAAAGACTGGTTATTTTAGTAGAGTGTATAAGAATAAGCCTCACCTGCCATAATGTGGTCCATACAGCATTCTCAAAGAGACTCTTAAAAAAATACCTTGGAATAAACCTGACCAAAGACATTAAAGAGCTCTACAAGGAAAATTTTAACTCTTTAAAGAAAGAAATTGAGGAAGACATCAGAAGATGGAAGGACCTCCCATGCTCAAGGACT